TTGTTTTATTGTCAATGTTGGTTAATCTCTGCTCTCCATTTCTCTCTCTCCTCGGTCTCTTCCCTTTATTCACGCCGCTCCCTCTTCCCAACTTTCATGGACTACTACATTTTTTTGTTTAACAAAACAAAAGAACCCAAAATTTTTCTAAGTCTTCCTTCCCTCCCCTGTTAAGCTGTTCCCATCCATTACCATCTGCTAGTTCTCTTGTTTTCGTTCACTATCGTTTTCACCAAAAATGTCTGAATTTTCTTTGGCTTCAACAACTGCGAAGAAGAAAACGCATTTGTCAAGTCTTTTGCTCTCTGACTTTATGCTCTTTTGTTCTTTCATTCTCTCTCACCCTCTCTATTTCTTTTACTTCATCTTCTTATCTCCTTACCTCTTCAAGATTTTCTCTTTTCTTTCACCTCTCTTTGTTACCACTGCCCTTTTGCTTCTTGCTTTTTTCACTCTTACTCCCAGCTTTGTCAACCAAGTTGGTTCTTGCCACCTCGAATTACCAGAATCCAAGGTCAGTTTCCTACTTACTACCTACCAAACACTTGTTGAAACATTAAGGTCTAAAGTTGACGATGAAAGTGATGGCTTTGGATGCTTGGAAGAGCTTGAAGCATATAAGATCGTATTTGAAACATCAACTACTTTTGAAATTAGGGAAAACCCTGACGAAGTTTTGGAGATGGAGTCCAAAGAAGATTGCTTGGAAGCTGTTGAAGCTCCCGTTGACAAGGGTTTGAGCTGTGAAAACAAGGGTCTTGGTGTACCTGAAGCATTGACGAGTGCATGTTTAGATGAAAAATCAGCGGAGATCACGCGCCCGCAGACTAATCAGGTAAAGGCGGTAGTGAAGATCTTCGAACACTTCTTGCAAGAAAAGGATGGGGTAGAAAATTTGTCGTCCAAAAAGAGAGAAAAAGAAGTCAAGTCACTAAGCGTAGAGTCCAATAAAGGTGAGGAACAAAAGGAAGAAGAATTCATGAGAAGCGGATCCAAGGCAATGGGGAACAAAATAAGTGATCCTAAAGTGAGTGCCGAACATGGAGGGGAGCATGCTGCCAAAGCAATGGTGAATCCCCAAAGAGTGAAAGCTAATTGGAGTACTGAAAATGATGGAGATAATTACAATTCCAAAGTTGCAGACAACTGCCAAACAATGGGATATTCAAGCCTTGGGAATTTCGGGTCAATGAGGAAAGAAAAAGAGTGGAAAAGGACATTGGCATGCAAACTTTTCGAGGAGAGACACTCTCAGAATGTAGATGGAGGTGAAGGGATGGATTTGCTTTGGGAGACATATGAAACTGATTCCAATAAGGTACAACTGAAAAGCAGCTCAAAGAAAGGAAGGAAAGGTGGCAACGAGTACTACTACGATCATGATCAGGATGACTATGAGGAAGACTCAGATGGGCAGTTGTGTTGCTTACAGGCTCTTAAGTTCTCAGCTGGAAAGATGAATTTCGGAATGGGAATGGGAAGGCCTAATCTTGTTAAAATCTCCAAGGCCCTGAAAGGGATTGGATGGTTGCACCATGTTAGCAGCAGGCATGGCAAGAAAGGGTACCACTGAATTAGATTTTACTTTTATTAATTTATGTTTGATGAGGATAGTGGATATGTGTATTTCTCCAAAAATTGCAAGTAAATATGTTCTTTTGATTTCACATGAAAGTAACTCTTTTTTCTTTTTATTTTTCCCCCTTGTATGGGGTTGATGAGTGAGACAAATAATTGCTGAAGCATCAAAAAAATTTGCAGAAATCCAACTTTGAACATTTGCTTATTTCTTACTGTTATGGTAAAGAAATGATTTCCTGCTTTGTTGGTGCTTCTTTTAGGTTTATATGGCGTGCTAGAATAGATTTTTAGTTTTCACAAACTGTAGCAATAATAATGGTGTATTACATCGAAGGGCCTAGATAGTTGCTTTATCGTTATACATAAAATCATTTATTCCTTAAAGCGAACCTGTTTTTCTAAGTAATGGTTTTAGGGCCCTCCAGTTTATGTCACAATCACACGCAGCATAATAAAGTTCTATATGATCAGAGACAGCACAATGGAAGTTTCACCTAATATCCATCAAGTGATATTTAACATTTGTTGTTGGATTCCCCGCTGGGCATCCAAGGCAGGGTAACAGTTCCATCTTTTGCTCTTTGATAAAAGAACTTGGCTATTAGTTAAAAATCTGTCATTGACACTAAAATTTGCTGCTTAAAATTTTATTTCCATCCACTCTTGTTTTTGCCTGAAGGGTGTAATTCATTTCTGTAGATCGAAGTATCCTGAATAATTGGGATCTCGAATTAAATGTCTTTCAATAATCATCTACCAATTTTTGGGCCTTTCAATTATATGAGGTCACATGTGGCTTGGACAGATTGTTTGCAAAAATTGGCAATGGCCAGGACCATTCAGTGCAATCTAATTTGGTAGTTTGATTGCAGAGCTTGGCTCAGTTATGTTTGAAAGAACATATTTCCACCCAACAACAGCTTGTTAAAGAAATGAAATTCATGGAATCGATTCATTGGGTGTTTGTAAAGAACCAAAAATTAATTTGATGACAAAGAAGACTAAATACTTTCATATAATTGTTAACATCCAAGAATGATAACACAGATTTCAGCTGTTGTTTATCAGATTCACTTGTTCGTACATCCCTGTCTCTTCTTGGACCAAAGATTTTGTTTCAGTTTAAAAAAGATATGGCAGTACTTCCTATGGAGTTCTGTCCTCATTGTTGGTTTTCAAAATGTATTGGTAACCTTCCTGATGCTTAACCTAATGATGATCGACGGGAAATTAGACAACCCAGCCTCAAGCATTTCGTTGATCTTAAATTTTGTGTCTTGAATTATCCGACAAGAACCATGTGCTTCGACTTAACATGGCATGCTCTCCAGGGAAATAAATGATGGCGGTGGCAGAGGAGAGTGGTCGTATACAATTCTCATGTGCTTCAAAGCAAAGCACCATTCCTTTGCTCATATGTACCAATGCACCGATTTGTTTTTCTAGTTGGCTCTGGAGCCCAGAGAACATAGCAAATCCAATGAGATGCTCACATTTTGTATATGTATACATATATCCTGCATGGCAATCGAAATTGGTAGCTTCACCTTGCTCACATTTTTTAATGGCAAATGGAATTGGTTAAAACACATAAAATCGATCATGTTTTCTCCATCAGATTGTTAAAAGAAATGAAAAGAAGTATGAGTTCGATGAATTAGGCTAGTGGAACCGGAAGATGTTCGATATATAATTTGAATGAAGTTCACCTTGATTTATTAAGCTTAACGTTTAGTATAGCATGAAACAATGCTTCCACAATCCATCTATAGCCCCACCTTTCAACAATTAATAGCAACAACCCGTCCCTCCCCAGGGCACTTGCTATTGGCAACTGGTAAAGGAAGAAATTAAGGAGTTTAATGTTTTGGAGATGGTGAGCGGTAAGGTGATGAAATGACACGCATGATAAGTAAGTATCTAATTTTGTTTGAGATATTTTTGAAATTAAAAAATAAATTGATCTTTTCATACATTATAAATTGTTAGTAAATAATCAATAATATTTTTAATTTTTGAATCGATACATGTGCAGTATTATATCAATTTGATTACATTATTATTTTATTTTATAAATTTTTTATTTTTTATTTATAAATAAAATCATTCAGATATTATTAATCGAATTTATTTTTTTTATTTTTTTACTTTAAATTTGAGTGTCAAAACAAAAACATAAAAAACACTTTTTACTTTTATTTTTAATTATTTTTTTATCTTATAATTTTAAGATTTTAACTCTCGACACAAATAAGTTACTTGTTCCACGCTTATAGTATTGTCAGTTATAAAATAAAATTACCTTCCTATCGATTATCGATTAGAGTGTGCAAATACCAACCTTCTATTAATTCTTTCTTTGGTTTTCGTTGGGCCTTTGAAGTAGTTTAGCACTAGTTGTATTTTTTTGTTTTTGGGCACGGGCGGTAAAAATCAATCGTCGGCACAGCTCATAGGTAATGTCGGTGTCAAGGGAATTAGGCAAAAATGAAACAAACAGCTTCTTGACAATAATTGGATTACAGCAGCAGTATGTTTGAATTGTTTTTAATTTTCCAAATGATGATGTCTCGTATTTATATTCTAAGAATTTGGTCACCTTTAATTAGTATTTTATTTGACTAATGTACGCTTTTTTTTTTTTTTTTGTTAGGCAAAACCCATGACTGAAGGCACTGACTATGGACCTATTGCAGTTGACATTTGACTCATTTACGATTCTTACACAACACTTGGTTATGCATCTGTCATTGCCCTTTCGCTACTGCTTTCTTCTTTTACCCAAACTTTACTATGGAAAATGTTACATTTAATTCATAAGTCTTGCAAAACTTCAACAACTTACATATTCTTTTTAACATTAAGAATGTTATGTTATTATTGTTCTATTCGATTAACAAGTTTTTAGTAACTAACGTCACTTGTTCATATTTTTAACTCATAAGATTCGTTATTTTTAAATCAAAAATCATTTTCATTTTTATTCGATGCAGAATTTGTGATATGGACCTACTTCAACCTTTATACTTATCACATGTCCGTTTTCAATCTAGGAATGTGACACTTATACACGATAATTAGTTTACTATGAAAAAGCTTAATTAATTAAAAAAATTAGTAACCTAAAGTTTAATTTTTAATGAATGAAATTTAAATTCAATGGAGAAAAAGACTATAAACTCTAATATAAAAATTAATTTGAGATTTGTGATTGATTTTGATCCATTTGGAGACAAGTTTGAAATTAATTAATTATTAAACTTTTAAACAAGATGATAATAGAAAGTGAGACAATGAGAGCGTTCACACGGGATCCCGCGTTGCCGCCAAATTCCAAGTGGCAGCCAGCTATCACCCAAATTAACCAAAACAAATCATAGCCGTTGATATCCCGAGACCCACTTCCGTATCATAATCTCCTCACTTCTGCGCGGAAAGCAGAAAGACAGAGTCTTAAAACTGCATAAAAAGAGTGAGTGAAAGATAGAGCGGGTGTGGTCATTATCAAAATCCTCGTCATCTCAACTCTAATCTCTAATCTTAATCACCTTCTCTTTTTATTATTATTTTTTAAAATTTGATGCGCTGTTGATTGATCGGAAAATGGCGAATTACCACCGTGCATTAAGAAGCGGCGTCGGTGGCGGAGGAGGAGGAGGGCCAATGTTGGGAGGTTTTGGATTTATAGTTAGATTATTGGCTTCAGCAATTACGATTGCAATCTGTTTCTTCTTTGCTCTTTCTTTCTTCTTCACTTCCCACTCTCACTCCCCTCATCTCCAAGCCAACTTTGTAAGTACTAACCTTCCCCTCTTTTTTTTTTCTTTGTTTTTCATTTTTGGATTCTGGATCTTCTGATTTCTGTTCTTTAAAAGATTAATTTAAGCAAAAAAAAAAAAAGAGAATTGAACATTGCAAGGGTGAATGATTGGACGGTGTTGTTTCTTTGTGTTTGTAGGGTTTCTCCACGGGTTCCTATGGAATTGGATCCACGAGGAGGTCTGTTTTGGCACTCAAATCGGATCCGCTCAAGCCCCGATTGGATCAGATCCGGAAACAAGCGGACGACCACCGCTCCCTCGTTCTCGCCTACGCCTCTTACGCTCGAAAGTTAAAGCTCGAAAACTCGAAGCTCGTTAGGGTTTTCGCAGATCTATCTCGAAACTACTCGGATCTCATTAACAAACCATCTTATCGGGCTCTCTTCGAAGCCGATTCACTTTCCATCGACGAGTCGGTGCTCCGACAATTTGAGAAAGAAGTTAAAGAGCGAATCAAAGCCACACGCCAAATGATCTCCGAAGCCAAGGAGTCTTTCGATAACCAACTCAAGATCCAGAAATTGAAAGACACGATATTTGCGGTCAACGAGCAACTGACCAAAGCGAAAAAGCAAGGCGCGTTTTCCAGCCTTATCGCCGCGAAATCGATCCCTAAAAGCTTACATTGTTTGGCAATGAGGTTGATGGAGGAACGAATCGCGCATCCGGAGAAATATATTGATGAAGGGAAGCCAATTCCTCCCGAATTCGAGGATCCCAAGCTTTATCACTACGCAATTTTTTCGGATAATGTACTTGCAGCGTCCGTGGTGGTGAATTCAGCCACAAAGAACGCAAAAGAGCCATGGAAACACGTTTTCCATGTGGTGACTGATAAGATGAATCTCGGAGCAATGCAGGTTATGTTTAAATTGAAGGATTATAATGGGGCACATATTGAAGTTAAGGCGGTAGAGGATTATAAGTTTTTGAATTCATCTTATGTTCCAGTGTTAAGACAGTTGGAATCTGCAAACTTGCAGAAGTTTTACTTTGAGAACACACTTGAGAATGCCACTAAAGATACTACTAACATGAAGTTTAGGAACCCAAAGTATTTGTCAATTTTAAATCATTTGAGGTTTTATTTACCAGAGATGTATCCCAAGTTGCATAGGATATTGTTTTTGGATGATGATATTGTGGTGCAGAAGGATTTGACTGGGTTGTGGAAGATCGATATGGATGGGAAAGTGAATGGGGCGGTGGAGACTTGTTTTGGGTCTTTCCATAGGTACGCGCAGTATATGAATTTCTCACATCCTTTGATTAAGCAGAAGTTTAATCCCAAGGCCTGTGCTTGGGCTTATGGGATGAATTTCTTTGATTTGGATGCTTGGAGGAGGGAAAAGTGTACGGAGGAGTATCATTACTGGCAGAATCTGGTAAGTTTTGATTGCCATTCTTTAGTTATTTGTTTGGTTTATTATGCGCTGCTTATGCTACATGTGGTACTTGATTTATGTAGAGATAATGTCACAATTGATCCTTGAACTATAGTTAAATGTTCAATATGATACTTGAACTTTAAAAATTTTTAATATGGTATCTGAACATTTCACTATAATTCGTGGGCATCCGTGATTTTAACCCGATTATGTATTACATACTACAACTTGTTCCATAGTCTAGCTTGAGTTTTCTATTTCAAAACTTAAGCCTATGAATTGAGACTGGTGAAACTGCTGGTAATAGCTGCTAATACACTGAAATTGAAGGTGGAAATGCTAGCAGTTTTTGGTTTTATTAATTTAAGTTGTTTCTTATTACTTTTTTTTAGATTATGTTTTCTTTGCGGCAGCTATATTCAGCATGGTAGTTGGGTTGTATCATTAATTGGTGGATGCCTGTCTTTTGCAGAATGAGAACAGGACCTTGTGGAAATTGGGAACATTGCCCCCTGGTTTGATCACATTTTACTCCACAACAAAACCGCTGGACAAGTCTTGGCATGTTCTTGGACTTGGTTATAATCCAAGCATTAGCATGGATGAGATCCGCAATGCTGCAGTGGTGCACTTCAATGGAAATATGAAGCCATGGCTCGACATTGCCATGAATCAGTTCAAGCCTCTATGGAGTAAGTATGTTGACTTTGATTTGGAGTTCGTCCAGGCGTGCAATTTTGGTGTCTAAATAAGATCGTGATTGAAGCTTCTGGACTGGGAATATCTGCTACAAAGCTAGTTAGACAGCAAGATTTTCAACTCACCATCATAAGCATTTTCTTACAGTTTAATCAAGTGTTCTTATTCTACGTGCAAGAAAATTAGTATCTATGCTAAGCATAGCATACTTCTCATTAATTTTAGAGTTCTTCCTTTAATTTGTTCATACGAGTGTCGCAATTAAAATTATTAGTAAGCATATGTACAACTGTTAAATTATTATGTAATCATAATGATCTTCTTGTCATTTTCTCGTCACATTATTCCATTTCGAACTGTTAGTGAAACCATCTTTCAACTTAACTCTACGTAAGGAAAACAGAATTAAGAGATTTGATGTTTCACCATTGCGACCTGATAATAACTTTTATCATTATAGAGAACTAAATTGTAGGAAGCCTAACTATATAACAGTCTACTAGACTACACAATTGTGCTGACTAATCATAAATGCTTCAGTTACGAACGCATAGACAATGCAATGCAGCTACCACACGCTCCAAAGGGGGAAAAGTTGAACACGAATTAGGAAAATTCAAATCAAGCAATAAGAATGGTCAGATGAGGTGTTTGGTGAAAATCCATCTACAAATATTTGTTACGGATGCATCTTCTGTTCAAAAAGCAACAAAGGCAAAAACCATCAATTAAAGGAAGATCTCCCAAAATAGAATGTCCCCAGAAGCCTATAGTAAACAAGAATTTAATCTACTGTCCATCACCACCCAAAACCTTTCAGTATATATTATAAAAGTGAAAATGGACCAAAGGGGACGAGAAAACCCTAATAAACAAATCTCAGATAAACTCTACTGCAAAGCATATTGAGTGCTTTCCTCTAACGCTATGCAACAATTCCATAAATCATTACACTACAAACCGAAAGTTATCTTTGATCACTCCACAAGATTAATTTCTTCAAGCAGGGGCAGATACGCTTGGTGCCACGTTTTTGGCTGCTGCATTAACAGTTAGTCCACCAGAGCGGTTCACACGGCCACCATTACTCCCCATGTGCTCACCCCTCTGATATCCATCACCTCCGCGGTTGGAATATCCTCCTCGATTGTTGCTCCTGTTTCCATACTCTGGCCGATTACCAAACTCACCACGGCTATAGCCCCTGCCACCACCATAGTTTCCACGCCCTCTTGCTCCCTCATTTCTGTATCCAGCCCCAGAACCAGATGAAGTCCGACCTTTGTTCCCTGCAAATGAAGAACAGTCTTATAACATGCAAAATATATATCAACATAAGTTTTAAAGCCCATATTCTAGACTAGACTCTAGAATCTGGCCCAGATCACAAAACTTGCGATATATAAACTGTCATTTGCATCCAACCAAGAAAAGGAAACATCAAATCTACACCAAAAACCAAAGATTTCTGATGTCGTAGGATGTAAACATCACTTCAACATTAACTTAAAAATCTCATTATTAAACATGAGCAAAGCTCATTATAGTTCCTCTACCAACCATAAAGTGGCTCATATGGTTTACCTATGAGAAAGATCTCAATACTCCAGTCAATAACTCAAAATGGTACCATATTTTACCAAATCATGTAGATCATTTACTAAAATTTGAGTGAGGTTAACAAATAAAAGCAACTTGCCTCGTGAGGTAGATCGCTTTTCTTCAACAACTGCTTTACGTCCACCAATATTAATAGGTGAAGCCTGAAAGATATTTCAACAAAGAATAGGGCATAAAGATATAGATTTATTGCACAAAAGAAATTAATAATTGCAGCTGGAAAAGAATCATATAATGCCGGGACATAAATATAAACTTGTAACATTGCACTCCTCCCATTATTATTGGAGAGACACATCAAAAATCAAATCCTGAATTAAGTTCAATTTGAAACTAACCCTGGAGGATATACAGATTTAAAAGATAAAGAAAAAAGATTCAACACAAAGAAATATGTTTTGTTTTTTTTAATGCAAAAATGAATTTGAGTTTAACATTTGAATGCACCTTCTTTACCATATTGACAGAAAAATATAATTTAGGCCAAACTCTATAGGCATCACCAAAAGATGGTGGAAAGAGAAAAAACCAATATTCTATCCAAAATACCACTAAAACCATTTGATGATTCCGTAGACAATTAATAACTACACAAAAAAATGCACCAATCAAGACATTATACACAACCAAAACTGGAAATGCAACTTTTAAAAATTGTCAATTAGCTAAACCTGAAGAATAAGACTACATTGGGACCTTAATAATGCAAAAATTGAAGTTAAAGAGAAAGTACCCATGTACAGCGCCAAGTTTTAATGATCCTAATATGACATTTAAAATATGGCAAGCTACTACGTAGGTCCAACAAAGGGAAAGACCATTAAACGCAAATTGAATGAAAGGTTTGGCAAATCGTACATAATTTTCCATTAAGGTCTAGCAGCAAGTTACTAGATAAAGGGGTCACCGAAAAATGCCACATAAATAATGTATCCAGCTTACTGAAATGGAAAGAGAATACACAAGTTGCAATAAGTAACAGGAAAAAAAGAATAATGGATTGGGGAAATCCTAGGAATCTTGCAGCAGTTTTCCTTATTCTTTAGCTTAACTCCAGTTCATCAATGTTCCACCAAGCTTTTGTCAATCTTTAATGGAACTTTATTTGAGACCTACTAAAATAAAAATCGTTTTACCACCTTAACTAGCAGAAACTCATATACTTTAGGCTCCCCTCTTAAGATAATTAGGCCAAGTAACAAGTAGCTCCTTATTCCCACAGAACGAAGCCACAGAGGGTCCTTAATCCCTTTGTGACCTGTACAACTGCATTAGTTCCACAACCTAATCATGTCTCCTTAACTTACCACAGCTGTTACACACCCCCAAGTTTCTAACCCATCTGCATATAAAGTTATGAATCACCCTTCCCTACACAACTTGGCATATGTTCAAAAGAATGTAATGGACCATGCTTAACAGGTTTTCTAAGTCAAAAAGTTGCAAGAAGAACTATTCTGAAATCATACCATTGACTGGGAACTTCCAGCAAATCCAGCACCAGTCTTCCACTAGAAAATACTAACGTCCACCCCATGTTCATGCAAGCACATTATAAAACTAACACTTTTTCCTCATTTCTAGTAAATGCTAAAACTCAATTTTCTAACAGAAAAAAAAAGTTCCCTTAAATCTAGGTACAATCATAACTTCAATCGAGAAATTTTTGAGAGGTTAGACTAGAATCACTGCCATAAGCTGAAGCAAAACCTGTATGCTTGGGCGAAAGCAAGTTCTGGATTGCAGAACTTGTTACCATCCGATCCATGATAACACACCTCTAAGTATGTAATGAAATGTGTTATGATGGAAAACATTGAAAAGGTCAGAACAGGAAAAAAATTAAACTGACAAATACCTCTATAGCACTTTGCACAGAACTTGCCACTTCAAATTCCACAAAACCAAAACAGAATCCCTGTAGTGAAATACACAGAAAATATTAATTGAATATACAGTCACAATTTAATGCATTGAAAAAGAGTCCATATCTACCTTCTGACTTCGAACTTGAATACCATCAGTCTTAATAGGTCCAAACTTCTTAAACTCATTCTCCAGCATGCTGGGTGTAGCATTCAAGGGCAGACCTTTGACGTAAATGGAGGGACCCTCAGCTGTCCAAGAATAACAGGATATGTAAGTAAATCAGATGCACAGGCACATAGATACAAGAATAAATAAAATATCATGATAAAGCAGATAACAAATAAAGTGCATGCTAACTATTTGAAAATTATGCAGGAATGACAAAAAGGTGGATACCTTCCACATCTTGGTTATTCCCATTTTCTGTAACATTGTTGCTAGATATCTGTGCGTCAGATGCTGGGACTGGAGCAGTAGGTGGTGAAGTAGTTCCAGGTTGTTCATGGCTCTTAACTGCAGACTTCACAGGGGAATGTGTAGGGACTGATAAAGGAACCGCATTCTCCTTCATAACCTTCACCTATAGCATTAATAGATGTGACTAAATCTATCACCTTTAAACTGGCACTATACCAAGTAATTCTCAAAAAGATTAGAAGTCTAATGTCCAGTAGAACGATACTTAGTAGTTAATACTTACAATAGATGCATATGATTTCTTTGGCACTTCCTCGATTTTGGAGTTCGAGTCGGCGACCATCTGTGAATCATCAGGAATCTCATCAACAACCTCAGCCACTGGTGCTTCCTCTTCTTCGATAGAACCATCTCCATTATCAGAAGGATTGTACGCTTCTGGCCCATTAGCTTCTTCTGGCAATGTAGGTGGTTGCTCAATGCGATTCTCTGGAGCAGGATAAGGATCTGCAGATAAACATTTACATCAATTGGAGAAAATTATTATAATTCTGTATTTCAGAAGGTAGTCTGGGTTTCCAATTACCCTGCTCCGGAGTAAGAGAAGCTTCAATATTATTAACTGGGTCCTGGCTCCCACTTTGATGTTTGGCCTCATCAACATATCTAAATACATCATTTAGAACAAAATAGCCTTTGTCTTGAGGTGCCAAAAAGAAACTCTGAGTGAACTTCCGCTTCACTTTATCCTTTCCAGTTAAATACCCAGTGACAAGAACAAGTACTCCCCCATTGTGAGAGTCTTGTGCATCTACAGTTGTTATCTCTGCCGTGAATTCTCCATAACCAAGGGAGAGTATCTTCTCATCAATGGCCTGGTCCACAAAATGAAGCACCATGGTTTCAACACTACCAATTCAAACTCCTATATAAGTCATAACTATTTAGATATTACACCAAGAGAATATGACTCTAGGCTCCTATACATCCAACCATATAAAAGTAGAAGAATAAAATTGATTCCATTGCCATTTATATTTGAATATTAATCCATCTAGTTGATGGGAAACAAAAATTTATCAACTAGAAATTTCTATTAATTAAAGTTCCTCACAAAACCTTGCCATGTAGAAAAAAGTGCAGAGATCAGAATCTTAAATTATGTGGTACATTCCCTTTGTTTTTGTTTTTGCACAAACAGAGCCAAAAATAGAGTAGATTTTCACATTAGAAACCAAGTAAACCTGGACTTCCTACGACATATATCTTTCAAAAGGGTAGAAAACATGGTTTTCAATAAAAACGCTGGATTAAAGAAAGGAAAAAAAACCTAAACATAATGACACACACTCCCATTTAGAAAGTCTGACCCAAGATAAATACCCATGCCTGAAAGCGACAGAAGAGAAAACTTACCTGCATAGTTGTTGTGATACTCATGACACCATTTTCTTCAAGACGTCCAAGTTTGCTGCTATCATGGTAAAATCGGTGAACCAGCGCAGGGGATTGATGTAAGATAAGGTAGTATTGATGAACAAAGGCATTACCGACCTAAAATCAACATCAATAGGGATCAAAACTTAACTTTAAATGCGTTAAATCATTAAAGCATCCAAATAAGCGGGGGGAAACATACAACATCGGCAGTAGGAGCTGTAATTCCAGTTGGGACTTGTTGTTCTGCAGATGCCATTGCCGATATCTTACCTGCAAAGCAACGAAACCCAAATTCAAATCATAACTCAAAACTCTAAACCTAATTTTTAAGCTGCCATTTACTCAAAGAAAAAAAAAACCTAGACAAATATTATGTAACTTTTCTTTTCCATAAATAGGCACGAAACATTCCAACTTACATACCTACCGAATAAAAAGTATTTTTAACTCTCAAATATATCATAATAATTTCCACGAAAATTTGTCAGCGAAAACAAACAGAACCTCACGGATCCAAACAATAAACTCTTGTTTACAGTGAAAATTAAAAAAATTTCATTTTCCCTAGAAACATTAAGCATTCTTCCCTTTTTTTTTTTGAAAAAAAAAAACATTTATCATTGATATAAACAAGAGATTGAAGGAACGAGAAATAAAATGAATAAAATAGAGTGAGAAATGAGGTTGTATTTACCTGAGTTTTTTAGATTCGAATCGCCAAAAAATAAGAGAGGTGAGAGAGAAGAGAGTGCTTCTTTCTGATCTTGTTTATGTGAATTTTTCTTTTTTTGGTTCAAATCGCTTTTCTTTTTTTTGGTTGCTCTTTCTTTCTCTCACCTCCCTTTGTAGGGGTTGTTAGGCGGTTTCTAGGGTTTTTGTGGATCTTGTAGAGGCGCGAGACCGGGGAGCAAAGAGAGGAATCAGCTTCCAAAGGGTTTTTGGTATTTATACTCTGGAAGAATAAAAGAACCTAAAAAAGGAAGCGAAAGATGCTTTCTTATTCTTAAGGAAGTCGGACAAGGCATGCTTTATCTATTCCTTTTTCTTTGTTTTGTTTTTTAATTTTCCTTTCCTATTCCATGCTTTATTGCTACTTTTGTTTGATTATTATTTGTGTATAAGCTTTCTTTCACAGAATTTGCCATTTAATTTGTTAGCACAAGGGGTATAAATAATATATTAATAGTTATAAATTGCTCAATTTCAATTCAAATAAAACTCAAATTTAATTTGATTATTATTAAATCAAATTCGAGTAGCTCGATTTATTAATGGAATCGAATTTGAACATTTTTATATATAATTTAAATAATTCATGAATTTAATTAAATTTTTATATTTTAATATATTTTAATTATTTTAATTAATAAAATATCTCAAATTTGAGTTTAAATATAAATAATAAAGTTTTTATCAAATATAAAAATTAAATTTATTTTTGTATGTTAATCGAACATAATCAAGCGAGTTCGAATAGTTCGATTTTTATCTCGAATTAAATTTGAACTAAAAAAATAAAATTCAATTAAATTCGAATCGAGTTTTGAGTTTTTAATTTTGAATCGAGTGTTCTTATATCCGATTCGAGTAATTTACGAGTTTAATTATGTTTTTATATTTTAATAAATTTTAATTATTTTTATTAATAAAATATTTTAAACTTAAATTTAAAATCGAATACAAATAATTAAAATTTTATTGAATATAAAAATTAAAATTATTTTTATATGTTAATTGAATCTAATTAAGTAAATTCAAATAACTTGATTTTTATCTTGAATCAAGTTTGAATTAAAAAAAAATTGATCAAATTTAAATAAAGTTTTAAACTTTAAACTTTGAATCAAATTTAAACTCATTACTGTATTTTAATTAATAAAATATTTTAAATTTGAATTCAAACTTAAATATAAATAATTAAATTTTTATCAAATATAAAAATTAAAATTATTTTTATATATTAATTAAATTTAATTAAGTAAATTCGAATAATTTAATTTTTATTTCAAATTAAATTTAAACTAAAAAAATAAAATTTAATTAAATTTTAAACATTAAATTTTGAATCAAATTTAAACTTATTACCGTATCAATTCAACTTCGATCAATTATATCCCTCTCTGCCACTAAAGGCTAAACGGGAATGGCACGTTGACAAACATCATTTTAATTACTCTTTCAAATATCTGATCCCTATCTGTTTGTTGGGCGTCAAAGGAGCAGATTCAATCCACTTTGTTTTGTGCGTTTCCCATAGCACCATTCCAAGCATTGGGTCTATATTGGGCCCAAAATTGACCCTGCTTCAACCGCCGCATGTGTCGGTAGCAGCAGCTGTAATAATAACGAAAAAGTGGTTTAAAATGGCAATAGCTCCAGGTGAGGTCATTTCAACGTACACTAGACATGTCATGAAGGAAGAGCTGCTCAAATAAAAAATAAACCCATTACGCAAATGACCTAAAATCTTCTTTTCCGTTAATTCAGTTAGAAACCATTTGCAAAGGAAAGGAAAGCAATGAGTCTCCTCCATTCAGTTTCGAAGAAGAGCTCAGTAACAAGGATAAACCTATCATTTTGTGCCCTGGCTACTCAAACTTTTTCAGCATGGTCTAGAAAACAGACAAAAAGGAAAAAAAAAAAACACTGATGACCAGGCAAAACAATCAGGCATAGCTACATTTGTTGTATTACTAAAAAGCGGAAGGAATCACGGTAATGTGTCTCAGAGGATGTGACACATCACTACCCCCAGCATGCTGCACAAACTCAGCCGGCGTGAATGAACTTCCATGGCAGACACAGATGATGCTGACCTCTGATTTTGTATATCTGTACAGAAAACCATTAATGGTTTTACCATTAGGGCCATTGCCGGTTGTTGAAACGCAAGGCACGTTACGAAGGGTAAGGATGTCGTCATGAGTAAGAATTTGAGGCTTAGGAGGCTTGCCCGTGTCCCTCTTCGTATCTTTTGTTAAAGTGGTGGTTGTAGTTTCATTAGTCAAAACTGGCTTGCTGTTAAAATTTGGTTGGCTTTCGGGTTTGGGTTCCTTCGTTGGATTCAATGAAGTGAATTCGGTGGCCATCATTGAGGTCTTTTCGATAACTTTTCTAGATTTGTCAATACTTTGGGCAGAGTCCATTTGGTGAGACGTAGCACTTTGTTCATACTGACCCTTTAGATTGCTTGCCACTGAACAATTCATTTGAGGATGTTCCAGTTGGCAATGACTTTGGTGGGTTCCAGTTTCACTGCTGCAACCACCTGAAAATGAAAGGCAACCAGTATATTAACAAAAACAGAGTTCTTAGAAGAAAGAAGAATTTGATATCAATGTAATTAACTTCACAATGACGATTACTTTGGGGAGTAATACATCCTTACACTTGGCAATGGAGGAAACCAGTATGCTAAATGGGTTCAGCAGTAGATAATTCAGTGATTTCTCCAGTCTATCATGTTTAGTACTCGTGATTAGTTCATCGTGAAGTATATAATCTCAATCCTAAGGTATGGATCTCAATTAATTCTCTTCAACACAGTCAAATTAGTTCATCAAATGGTTGAGGTAAGTGATAAGAAAAGAGGCTGTGTGGCTCAACCATTAGATTTAAGAAAAAGATTTCATTCCCTCCTAAATAACTTGTTATAAATCTAGATAGCAGACTGGGAATAAACAGATACATCTACGCATCTGGCAGCTGCAATTCGATTAAGTTCATCCATGGCAAGTATTAGACAACAATCAGAAACAAATTCAAAATATTGCATTCTATGTTGCTCTAACTCCTCACTTTTCTATACGATCATGTGTCCAACATATATTGTGTTTTTCAATTAAATTTGGTTTCTTCTTGGATCCTTAGTCGTTTTCAGCACATCCCCCCTGCCTTACTCTTCCGTAATGGCGGATGGATACATTAAGCCTGATATTTTAATACTTTTTCAACCAAAATTTAGTATTCATAAGAATCACATTATTCAAATCTTACATTTTCAAAAACCTTTTGGTTTTTGAAAACCATCTACCAATCCCCTCCTTTCCAGTTCGTTACATAGTTTGTTCAATAATAAGATGACTGGAAACGTAAGAAAGCAATTTACTAATTTGCGAAACCAAACTTTCATTTTTGAAAGAAGAAACCCAACTTTTCTTGCTTTCCATTAATCATGGTACTTAATTGAAGAAAACAAAATTCTGAGATCACCCTTGTCCACAAACAAATGAATAATGGCCTATCTTTTAAGATTTCAAATTGAAACGTGAACCAGATTCATGGAAAAAAAAAATGCATGATGCAGGCTTTGATTTCCATTTTAGGGAGCCATATAATAGAATTAAATGTATTTTCATCATTCTTTGAAACTTGCATAAAATAAAATCCTATTTGGACGAGTAACAAATGAAAGCAGACAAACATTCAGTAATAAACGGCGAAGAACAAGAAGGAGCACATGAAAGTACATACCTTGATTAGAAGAACTTTGAAGATCCGAAACCACGGAGGAACTGCACATGGGAGACACGTTTGACCCTGTTTTCATATTCCTTTCATCTCTGCTATCAGTCTGCCCCGAATCATACCCATTCCTACCATTCAGACCCGTTTGAAATGGCCGAAACCCGCCATTCACCGCCGCTGTTTGCACCACCCCCTTCTCATTCCCAGCACCACCACCCGAACAAGGAACCGCATTTACGCAAGAATACGCAAACCCATTGGCGAGCGGCACAAACTGGACCTGCGGATACGGGCACGGGACCGGCACCGGAATAACTGGGCACATCAACGGATTAATTAGCTCGGCGCTTGAATTAGGATTTATATCACCAGAAAATTCCTGAACTTTGTTCTTCTTGCATTCTCTTTCTTCTGTTGTATCGACGTCGTTGTTTTTGCTTTGGAACTCGCCGTTTTGGTGACATCTGGATGATGATTTTGTTATTCCTTTCTTTTGCTGCTTCTCTTCTCGCTTCTTCTTCGCTTCTTGTCTCCTTAAAGCTTGAATCTCACGTTTCGTTTGCAGATCAAAAACCACTCTTTCCCCGAGATCTGCAACCGAGTTATTGTTGGGTTTTAATTCTTTCTTGAATGGCTTTAGTTTCTCGGCTTTTCCAAAGCTTCCTCCTATTGATAATCCCAGCTCTAGCTCAATCTCATCCTCTGTTAACCCCATAATCCCACGGTTATTTTCCATTTCAAAGAGTTTAAAAACACCGCTTCCTGCTAAAACCTCATCCTACAAATAAAGATACAAATAGAAAAAATAGAAGACGAGACAAGAAAAATGTACTCTCTTTGTACGGGTAACCTGCTTTTGTATCCTGCTTTGCATTCAGATTTTCCGGGAAGATAAAAGAGAAAAAGAAGGAAGGGGAGAGAAGAGAAAGCCACGTGGCGAGATGGGAGAAGTGGAGATAAACGGTTGGTGTTGACACGTAAGAGAGTTTTCGGACATATTTAGCGGAAGCGTTAAGTAAGGTTACAGCAATAAACTGGGATTAGCACCATTTTTTTGAAACGCCGTTGAACTTTTTTCTTGAAGTTCCCGACAAGTTAAATTTAGCGGGAAATCGCTGGTTTAGTTTTGGTTGTTATAGGGGAAATATAATTGAGGGGAGGAGAGGGAGAGGGAGTTCAGAGAATGACACGTGGCACACGTGCATGAATACTGAAGAGCTGAGGACACGACACGTTTTCGCTTGGCGATGAGTTAATGAAATGAAACAGTTTTGGTGGGGACTTCACGACACCCTGGCCGTTATAGACACGTGGTGGAAGATCTCTAGGTCACCGCGGATCTCGGCCGTCTCATTCACTTTACGAATCCCCAGGAATCAGAAAGCTACGTCAAGGCTTCTGGAAAGGACACGTGTAAAACATCGTGAGTAAGCACCTGTTTTCCTTGTGTTAGAGGAGCTTGTTGTGACACGTGGCTGAAGCTCCTGGCGACACGGCTCAGCAGGTTGCTTTCGCGGATGGATGATGATTTGTCGACGTGGGCCGTATGGCGAGGTTGAAGTAAACGTGGTGGGAGATGTATTCATAAGGAATGACGCGTGGCGAAGATCAAAGAGGTTTATGAACGGAGGCTGAGGTACGTCATAGACACATGTGGTGGTTTGGACCGGGAGTGGACCAAGGCTTGAAAGTTGAGGAAGAGACGCATGAAGGCCACGAGCAGTGTCCGAGAAGTGGGCATAGAAAATCACGAGCTTTGTGAGACTGAGAACTACCGGAGCAAATGTGTGATGATTACATGGAACAAGTATTAATGTACTATAGGTAGGACAGCTTTGTTGGAAATGGGATGGGACGTGTCATCAATAAGAAGCAAAAGAAAAAGACTGATACCATTGAAAAAAAAAAAAAAATCAGGAACATTTGGTCCACGGACGGAAAGTAAAGAAATTGTGGGAGGGAAAAAGATCTTACGGAATGGTTACAGTAAGTTAGTATATATTATTTTATTTAAATTATATTATTTAAAGATATTTAATTATTTATTATATATTACATCTAATAATTAAATAATAAATATTTATTTCAATCTATTCATCAATTATTTTATTATAAATAATTAATTTTTTAATAATATGATTACATAATATAATTTTGAATTAAATAAATATATATTGATTTAGCATAATTATTTCATATAATCTTTTTTCATTTCATAGGATAGTGATATTGAAAAAAGTTGGTAATTTTTGTGTTTTGCTTATTTTATAGAATATGAGATTTTTTGTTTGGTTTTAAAAAATGTAATATTATCTGATAAAAATTTTTATTATATTATTTTTTATAACAAGTGATATAAAATTTATAAAAATATTACACGAATTTATCACTTATTTATTTAATATGTTAATTAATTAATTTATTTATGTATAGCGTAGATGATTTATCTACTTTTTTGCCAAATTAATAAAAAGTAAAAAATTACTAAATTTGTTTATATATATTAAATAATACTTGTGTAAGTAAATATTTTCAAAATATTTGTATGTATATATTAAGTTGCATGGAGCCTAATTAATATTTTAATGTTGATTATCCTTACTTATAGTATCAATAAAAACTACTTTTTTATTTTAAAAGTTCGGTCTACATTGAAATTATGAAATTTTGAAATAATAAGCATTACTTTTTTTTACCTTAAAAATGTAATTTTTGTTAAAAGTAAATAATTCTGAAAAATAAATTTTTTCATAATATATTATTACCAATGATTATATTTTTATCTTAAAAATGTAATTATTGTTTAAAATAAAAAATTCTGATAAAATAATTCTTTCTTAATATATTTTTAACAATGATTACCATTTTTATCTTAAATATTCTATTTTTGTTGAAATTATAGAATTTTGAGGTAATAAGGACTACATTTTTATCTTAAAAATATAATATTTATTGAAAACAAATAATTTTAAAAAATAATTTTTTTATAATAAAATTTTTAATAATGACTATGTTTTTTATTTTTAAAGTGTAGTTTTTGCTAAAAGTAAAATTTTTTAAAAATAAATTTTGCATAATATATTTTTATTAAGTACTATGTTTTTTATCTTAAAAATGCAGTTTTTATTGAATTTATAGAACCAAAGGAAAAATAAATCTTTCGCAACATATTTTCAATAAATATTACATTTTTTATTTTAAACACATAGTATTTGTTTAAATTATAAAAGAAAAGAGAAAATAAAATTTCACAATATATTTTCAAGAAATATTACGTTTTTAATATTAAAAACGTATTTTTTGTTAAAAATATAAAATATAAAATATATATTTTTAAATTCTATATTTTCAAGATAAACTATAATTTTTTATCTAAATAACATAAATTTGTTGAAATTATAGAATTTTCAAAAGTAAAATTTTAATCAACTGAAAAAAAATTATTTATGATCCTCAAATTTGTTAAATATATTTTAATTTAAAAGAATAACAAATTATTTAAAGATTATACATATATTAACAATTATTATATTTTTATTAAATGAATCTAAATTAATTATATGAACTAAATACAAATTTAATTCTATTAAATAAAAAAAATCAATACAAATAAAAGCTGAATTAATTTTATATTTTTTAAAAAATAAAATTTAAATATAGACATTGTCAAGTGCTAAGCTGAGACTTGAAACACCCTGTGTATGATTTATCATATAATTTTTTTGATATTGAAAAATAAAATAGATTGTAATACTAATTTTTTTAATGAAAAAGCGAGACAAATTTTGCGTACCATTGGGTCATCTCTTAATGTAATAGCAACAAAAAGCCTGCCAAGATGAATGTTTGAACAATTTCTGCAATGACAGCCATTGGGAACCCAAAGTACCCAGCTCCAACCAGAAAAAGATACTTCCCCCCTCAGTTTCATAAGCCTTTCATGCAAATTAATAGGAACCATAATAAATTAGTAATGTTTTAATCTATTGTATTCATTTCAAAACCTCAAAATTCATTAGCAGCAATTTAATTGTGTACATCCATAATATATCCATGCGAAATTAAATTAGATTCTATATCATTTAGATGCTTTTTTTTAATTACAAAATCACATTTTAGAAATTAAAAAAAAAAGATTACAAAGTTGAAATTTGAATTTAAAATTCATTGGATGTTAACTTTTTAAATAATGATTGAATGAATTAATTTAATTAAATATTGGGTTTACGGTTTTTAATTTTTTAATTTTATTATTTTTTTAAAATATAACATTTACCAAATGAAACCTAAAGAATCAAGAATATTTAAATTTTGGGTTTATTAAATGACACTTTTTTTATTGAACGAATCAATGAATTCTAATACTTTTATTTATTTTTTAAATAAAACACCAAACGGAACTTTAAGAATCAAGGATATAAAAGGGTTTAAATGAGTTCTATAATAATAATAATAAAACTAACCTGGATAATCCAACGAGCACAGGTGAGGAATCTTTCAACAGCCATCGCAAATATATAATGGGCTATGAATGGTTCAACCATCTGCAGAACAATTTAAGGACAGGAAAATAATTATGTATAGTATAGTATAGTCTACTAACAAAAGTAATAAAGTAAACGAATAATAGCCATATTAGAGCTATATTATTACCTTTGCATTCTGCATCATGCGAAGCTGTGGCAGCACTGAAACTGCTTCCAAATAAACACAAAAGGCCCAAAGAACTTAGACTTATGTATACTTGTGAATTATGATACTAGAAATTGATATTTGAGATATGGAGATTAATTATAAAACGAAAAACTCACAAAAAAGATAATTTATAAGAATTTGAATAATGATAGAATATAATTATTGGATTAAAAGGGATAAAAGTTTACCATTAAATTAAAACTAAATGATACAAAAATACCACATTAATAATTCTAATCAAGGATACAGAATAATATAAGTTCACCACTCTAAAAAATCCACCTAAAAGATACAAAATTTATAGAATAATCTAAAAGATTGCTTAATGATAAAAAAAACTCTAATCTACCTTCTACCAAAGAATAATAAAAAATATATAAGCTAAAAACATCCCTCAAAATATGAAAATTTTCATATTACATTGCCAAAATTGTGCCTAAAATCAAGATATTTGTATGTGAACTCATTTGCTCATACAAATTACATAATAATAAATGTGACCATAATCACATCCATATTCATGCTCTATTCTCTAGCTAGTGTGAACACAATCTTCTTATTTCAACCTATATTTTTTCTGCATTTATTTAGTGGATTTAGACAAAGGATATATCCATCTTATTTTTAGATAAATTTGCTTTAGTCTCAGCCTAAGTTGTATGATGTGCAGACACTCCGATGTCAATTTTCTCTGGTTGAAAAATTTATCCTCAAGTCTGAACTAATATTCTCATCATATTAGGGTGACAAATCAGTAACATTAAAAGTAGAAGATACTCTATAAGTATCGAAAAGCTCATCTTGTAGGCATTTTTCTCATTGCGTTGGAGAATTCTAAATGGACCATTTGCTTTAGGCTATAATTTGTCAAACTTTTTTTGTGAAAACATTTCTTTGTGCAAGTATTTTCATATTAAATCATGTTCTTGGAACTTCACATGTTTTCGATGCATTATTACATTTTTATATTTATCATTTTTCTATAAAATTCTATTCTGAATCTATTTATGAAATATTTGATACTCTTGGCTCTTTCTTCCATATCATTAAAATGTTAGTTAGCATAAAGTTGAATTAAATCCAAAAGACATATTGCATTCTTACCAAGAATAATTTTAAAAGTGCTATAACCAATTGTTTGACTTGGTGAATGATTGTAGGCAAACTCCACTTATAACAAAATAAGTTTCCATTGGTTTAGTTTCTTTCTCGCATAACTCTTCAAAAAAAATTTTGCCTTATCAGGTAAAACAACTCTTAGGATAAGGTCTATATAGTCTTGAATGTCATTCATTTATGGTAAACCAGTTGATAACTTTTATTGAACAACATCTTGAAATTTTACCAATAATGGTTACATCACTGTAGGGGGCTCCTCACTATCTTTATTCTCCTCAATCAACATTAGTGCATACAAAATATCGCCATCTTAATTTTTTTCT